CTTTGTATCCTCTGCTCTCTCTGGAATCTATGATCTTGCTCTGCTGCATCCATTCATGCTTCACCGACGAAATCCATTTCCCGCAAAGGGGCACACCGCGCACCACTCCCGCCCGGGCTTGCTCACAGTCTGAAGCACCGATCCAGCACGTTCCAACGTATGACCTTGTCGATCTCTGGCCTTAGGAGAGGGCAACCGTCCCTCGTGCTGCTTCACCGGCGGTGGGTGTGCTCATAGGTACGAAAATCGCTGTTCCCTCCGGTGCGTGTTTGCCCTGGTTCGTTGTGTCGTCTCCTCATACTCGATACGCCCGCCATTCGTTCATTCAAGCCTAAGCGACGCGGGATATCCACGCTGTTTCTTTCTGAATATTTCCTAGTATGCATCCGCACCATTACTCTCCGACTGTGGAACCGCCACACCGGATAGCAACCTCGGCTGGTGAAGGTGGAAATTGGTGACGTCCAGCTTCCCCTAGGGAGACCTTCTGGCGAAAGTGACACTACGGAAAGCACGGGAGACGTGGTGGAGGACGGCTGCGGGGGAGGCCGTGGTGCGTACTCTCCCACGTCGTGTTATGGGCCGACTTCTAAGCACGTCCTTTGCGCTCCGCACCCCCAGTGCGCCCCGCCATCATTCACGCCAACACGTCCGCAGAGCACAAGGCTCACCTCTGTACCGCCCGATGGCGACCTTTCCCTCAACGAAGACACTCTTCGCAGTAGGCCGCCGATGCTCTCTTGATGTCGTACGCTTCTGGTCTCGCTTATTGCCTCGCCATTTCTCAAGACTACTCGACGATGTCCTGGTCCAGGAAGCTCGACGCGAAGGGGGAAAATGGCTTGCAGGTCCAAGCATTTCGTGAGTACCCGTGAACTATAGTCTCAGACCGCATCCGCCATCTCCGCCAGTTCTACCTCGTGTACTTGTAGTTCAGTGCTCTCCTAATCACAAATATGTTTCTTTGCAATGCGGCTCTATTGGCCTGAATCGCCGGACGGCGATCGGTGCAGTCCATCTGGGAAAGCACACGTTGATTTCCTTGCCCCGGTCGCGCGACCATTCCGATACCCTAGAGTAATCCCATACCTCGCAATTCCCTCGTGTACAATCTTGGTTGCAAGCGTTCGGCACACCTTCATCTGAGCCCGACGTCACTGGTAGATATTGTACGTGTTCTCAGGCTCTCGACCATGCAGTCGACCCAGGCAATCGTGCAGCAGACGAGAAGCTCCTTTACCCCGGCAGGGTTTACGGGGTGCCGTCATCGTACCTCTTCGCGGCGCTGTCCTGCTCCCATAATGTGAATATACGCGGTGAATATACGCATGGTGACTGAATGCAGCCTCCATCCAGGCTACCGTTCATAATCTATCTTCGTCCCGCCCAACGATCGTTCCCCATCCGTTGTAAGGACGGCACCCCGCCACTGGCGGGACGTCCGCAGGTTCGGAATAGTTGAGGCGTAGCCGGTGGAAGCAGCGGGTGCAGGGGATCTGGGAAACGCGATCACGTCCGCGCACGTACTCACAGAACGCTTTTGGCTGCGGATTTCTGTCTTTCTATGCCTCAAAATCTCTACCCCAGGCCGAGGAGAGGTCAGGGATCGCGACGCGAGAAGAGAGACGTGAAGCGCGGCCACCGGGAGAGCATCGGCGGGCTCTCTTGGGATAAAATTGCGAGGAGCGCGCGTTTTTGAGGGAAAGGATGTGCATTTCCGTCAACGTCAAGTGATGGAGGAGAGTTTTCCTGGGGACGCTGAACGTTGAACGTTGAACGTTGAACGCTGAGGTGCGGGTTCACAAAGACAGAGGGAATGCATTGGCGTGAAAGATGGTGCAGAACGCAAGATATATATGTTGCCGAGGTTATAGAAGACGTACCACGTTCCCTGCTGTATGCCCCTCGCATCCGCCCCAGCTATCCGCCATTCGCCTTCGCCTTCTGCGCCTGCTGTAGCTTCATGTCTCTACCAATCTCCACCCTCGCTCTCCTACTACGTGCGGCTGGCAGGAGTGAATGACACAGATGTTCCGGGGTTTCCGTCCTGAATAGGGGCGGATGAGACGACGCAACGAACCAGGGCAAGCAGACGCACTGAAGTGATCGGAGACCTTCGCTTCTACATCGCTGATGAGGTCGTGCGAGCAACGGCCGCCCTCCCCGACGATGACAATTATGTAGATTGGCCCCGAGGTGGTACGCTGCAATGGGTTTTGTCGGTGCTTGAGGTTACTTTGGGCCAGCCGCGCGGGACTGGTGAGGGATGTGCCCGTGTGTAAGGACGGGGTCTTCAGCGCGGCAAAGATGAAGCAGTTTCATGTCGCATGGCCAGGGTGGAGAAAGACCACACCGGAGAGAGAAGGAGAAGGAGGGAGAAAGAGAAGAGTTGACGCCCGACTCAGGACGCTGCTCAGGACGCGCCCTGTGCCTCGCTTATTCCTCCTCCTACCGCATCCTACTACTAGGCGGCTCAAACCCACGCCCTTAGGTCGCCAACACAGTCTCCAGAATACCGGCTTGACCACCGGCACCGCGCTCGGACTCATCCAATCACCATACACTGAACGGTACTGTTATCTTCTTCGCCCTCGTAGATCCAGACATTCCTCTAAAGTCCCCTAAGATGAACCACTCTTCGGGCCTCTTCTCTCTCAACGACGACGTCCTTCTAGCGACTTTCTCCTTCCTGGATTCCAAGGCGGCGCTGGCCACAGCTTTCACCTGCAAACACGCCTATAGACTGGCCATCTCTCGCGTCTTCGCCCAGCGATCCTGGGGTTTAGTCCGCAACCCGGGCGAAGAGGACGGCTCCAGAGCCCTCGCCCTTTCGCGCTACATGTGCGCACCCGAACCGTTGTCCCAAGTACCCCGCGTCCAGTATCTCCGCCAGCTCACCCTCGGCTACGCCATGCAAGCAGTCGAACTGTTGCCTCTACACGACATTCTCAGTCAAGCCTCCAATCTCCGCACCATCGACATCCAAAACTTCGAGTATCTCCTCCACCCCGACGGGCACGGAGCCATCCAAGCAATCGGCGCAATGCGCCACCTCGAGGAGGCACGTCTAGTACATATTGGCCCCAAGACGGTTTCCAGTCTACCAGTCATGCTGTCCGGTCCGAAAATCACCACTTTGACACTGGGCTTTTCCGTCGCTCACTACGGCCCCGGGGAGACCATTGACCTTCCCGTACTCATGTCCTCCCTCGCCTCCGTCTCGAGTTTACGCACACTCGCTCTAGCGTTCAACTCCGTCCCCACTTCGCTGCGTCCACCCAATTCAAGAAACTTCACCCTTCCTTCGATTCATAACCTTACCATCGACTCTCTCCTTGGCCACGTGCCAGCACGCATCGTGACGCTATGTCCCAACCTTCTCACATTATCATTATCCGTTACTAGGATGCGTGGTTCCGTCTCCCCTGCGTTCTCCATGTCGGCGGAGGACCGATGGCCCGTCCGACTGAAAGAGCTCGACCTGCCCTTGGACTTCACCCTCGCGGACGACACCGTCCAGCGCATGATGCACGTCGACCGGCTGTCGTTAGGGGTTAACGGAGAAATTTCTGGTCGGCACGAAGTCAACCGGCTACCGTTCGTGGGTAACAGTACAATCCCCGATAGGAACGGTTTCGAAGCCTTCCTCCCGCTCCTCAAGGTGTTCCGACCCACCATCCTCAGTCTCCAGACGACACCCGCCCTCTTAGAGCCGAGCTATATGTGGAACGAGCTTACCGCCGCAGCGCCGCAGCTCCGCTCCCTAGACATCATCGTTACAGCCTCCAGAAGCACTGGTACTAGCGTGCGTGATTACATCGTACGTCCCCTCGCCGTACTGCTCCGCGACAGGCCAGCGCTGATACTCCCGCACACGCAGGATCCAGTCATCGCCGCCCTCCGATCCACCCCGCTCGTCCATCTCTCCCTCCACCTGCCGCCCGTCGACCCGGGCTACCTCGTCCCAAGCATGGCCCAAGCCGAAAACCTCTGCGCCGCGGAGGTCCGCCGCGTCGAGACCATCCGGACTCTCCCTCTCCGGCTCGCCGAGGAGCTCCCGTCCCTCCGCGTCTTCGCGCTCTCGTCGTGCAAGCCCGGCACCACGGACTTCGGCTCGGGGCTGTTCCGCGCTCTGGCCTCGCCGCGGCTGATCACGGGGCTTGAGCGCGAGGAGAAGATCCGGCGGCGGTGGGGGCCGAACAGCGAGTTCCTCAACGCGTCGATATGGAGGGCGCAGGAGTACGGGGCGGAGATCGCGCGCGATAAGCGGTGGTGGTGGGTCGAGGGGGAGGGGGAGGCGCGGACGCCGGTCGAGATATGGCGGGAGGACGGCGAGCGGGCGCGGGACTTGATCCGGCGCGCGAACTTCGATCCCGAGAAGGGTCTCGATGGTGAGTTTGCTTCGGATTGGACTCGTTTGCGCTGTCGCTGAATCGCTCTGTTCGTAGGATTTTACTCCGAAAAGTGTCGCTATGAGCAGTAGCCTGGATGGAGGTTGTATTTCGCCACCGTGTGTGTTTTCACCGCATATATTCGCACCATGAGAGCAGGACATCTATTGGACCGTGACACGTGGTAAAGGCGCTAAAGGACGACCGGACGCACGCTTTGCTGCGGGTTGCCAACCGCTCCTCATCAAGCCTGAACTAAGGGATGCGACAGTGAGTGCCTCTTCATTCCATCCTGGACCCACATTTTAAACTGTTACAGGCCGGTTCTCCCTGGAACTCACGTCGTCGTGTGGTTCCGGTGTGGTTCCCGATGTCAGTTCAATGATGCTCAGCACTCATTCTTGCATTCTCGCTGGTCGAAGCTCTCTCTCGCGCCTGCCTGCCTGATGCGTTTCTAGCAGTCATCAATGGTTTCATTCAAAGGCATAGAAGACGGTACGCGTATCTCCTCGCGTCTCCCCGTAAGTTAAAAGGCTCACCGAACGTCGCAGAGACCTCACTCAGCCATCAGCCACAGCAGCGTCCTCAGATCTCCCCATCTCAGTCATCATGAAGTCATATTTCGCCGCCATCGTCCTTTCGGCTCTCGCTTTCTCTGTGCACGCACTCCCCTCTTGCCCGTACTCGAGCAGTGAACCCCCGTCTTCCACAGACTGCAACAGCACGATTCCGTCTTCCACGTACTACACCTACACTAGTACTATCCAGCCTTCGACGCACTCAAGCAACTCGATTCCCTCGTCCACGCATTCCAGCACTGCTCCGCCCGTCGTGCGTCTACAGTTTTTCTCGCCCATCTTCAGCTGCTTCTGCTCACGCCTTTCTCCTCCAGACCCCTTCCCCCACTCCGCCCGAGTGCTGCGACAGTACGGTGCCGCTCTTCCGCCTGTACAGCCCCTCCGCCACGGACCACTTTTACACCACCAACGCGCAGGAGCGCAACAACGCCGTCGCTTCCATCGGATACACCAACGAGGGGACCGCCGCCCAAGTCTTCCCCGCCGGCGTCTCCGGCGCGGTCCCGCTCTACCGCCTCTTCAGACTGGCCGGCTCGGACCACTTCTACACGACGAACGCGCAGGAGCGCGACAACGCGGTGGCCGCGCTCGGGTACACGAACGAGGGCGTCGCCGCGTACATCTACCCGAGCGCGCAGTGCGGGAGCGTGCCGCTCTACCGGATGTTCTCGCCGTCGGCGGTCGACCACTTCTACACGACGAACGTGGCCGAGAAAAACAACGCCGTCGCTTCGTTGGGCTACTCGTACGAGGGAGTTGCCGGGTACGTGAACCCTGTGAAGGGCGCGCACTGCTGAGCATGCGGTGGTGAGTGAGAATGACCCCGATTGTGACCTACGATCACGACGTCTAACTTGAATATCACAGGAGCGGTGCATTGAAAGGCTTCAAGGAGTCTCGATGTACTTAGGACACGCTCTATCTTATCCGATTGGCACCCGCCCACTAGACACGTACACGTCAGATTTGTTGTGCTTCGTCGCCAACATATCTACCCCCGTGAATACCTCTCCCACAGCTTAATTTTCCCCGCGTCTCTCATCTACCTCGCCCTCCTGCGGGCGTGACCCTCGTTGGTGTCGTAGCTCCGTGCCAGTCCTGTGAAGTAACTCCGCGTGGCGTGCAGGAGAATCCGCTGGCTTGAGTAGAATGTCTTCTCTCTGCTGGCGAAGGGCAAGGGGGAGGTACACAATGCAGCAGGTAAAGAGACAAGGAAGAGGATTTGCGTACGTCGAGATGGAATATGGGAAAAGCAGGGTGGCCGGCCGAACTCGGCTTTCCCGCGTTTTTCGGGAACGAGCGTCTACTCACGTACTTTCTCGTTCATGCACATATGTACGATCTGTTCTGCTACTTGCAATGAGACGTACATGAAAAGAGGTACTTCATGCCATGCGTGCTGGCAGAGGAGTCAATCGTAAAGAAAGTATTCTCTACTGTTTTGAGTCGGGACAAAACATTGAATGTTGCCAACAACGCGATACTTCATATTAAGGCAGTGACTGATCTATGTCAGAAACACGCCGAGACAAGCACTATCCTACACCAATCAACCAAATACAAAACGTGAAGATATGCATGACGAAAATTTACCGCTCATAGCGACACTTCTCCGAGTAAAATCCTACGAACAAGGCTAATCAGCGACAGCGCGAACGAGTACAGCACAACGCAAACTCACCATCGAGACCCTTCTCGGGATCGAAGTCCGTGCGTTTGATCAGGTCCCGCGCCCGCTCGCCATCCTCCCGCCATATCTCGACCGGCGTCCGCCCTGCCCCCTCGCCCTCGACCCACCACCACCGCTTGTCGCGCGCGATCTCCACGTCGAGCTCCCTTGTCTTCCGCATCGACGCGTTGAGGAACTCGCTGTCCGGTCCCCACCGCCGCAGGATCTCCTCCTCGCGTTCACGCTCTGCGATCAGATGTGCCGGAGCCAGAGTGTGGAACACCTCTGAGCCGAGATCCGTGGTGTCGGGTTTGCACGATGAGAGTGCGAGGACGCGGAGCGACGGGAAGGCCTCGGCGAGTCGCAAGGGGAGCGGGCGGAGCGTCTCGACGCGGTGAATCTCCGCGGTCCGGATACGGTCGGCGTGGGCCAGGCTCGCGACGTCGAAGCCCCAGGAGGTGGGCGGGAATTCGAGGGAGAGGTGGACGAGCGAGGTCGACCGGAGGGCGGCGATAAGCGGGTCCTGCGATCGCGAGAGGATCAGCGAGCCGTGCGGGAATCTTAAGACGGGAAGAGGACCTACCACGTATTCACGCACGTCATATTCGGCACCTGCCACGACGATCGAGAGAGAGCGGAGCTGGGGCGTCGCGTCGCGCAGGGTGTCCCACATTCGGCCCGCATCGGTGAGAACGCCTGTCGTCCGGAGCTCCAGGACGGTGGGTCGGAAGGTCTCGAGGAGCGGGAGGACGGTTTTGAAGTCGGCTCCGCCGGGAATCGGGGTCTCGTTCCCTAATGATAAGCAGTGGACGGGCTTCATGCATCGGGCGGTGTCTTCCGCGATGGCGATGTGCTTCGGAAAATCGAGCTCTTTCAGTCGTGCGGGCCATCGATCCTCCGCAGACATAGAGAACACAGCCGAGAATTCACTCCAGGAGAAGAGCACGAGCGACAGTGTGTCGATGTTAGGACAAGGGTGATGATGTGTGCAGGGACTGGGCCCGGAAGGGTGGAGAGGGTAAGGTGACGAATTGAGGAAAGAGTGACATCGTGGGAGGCACGCGTCGACGGCGCAGTGAGGAAGAAGCTGAATGTGATGCTCAGAGTGCGTATGCTCGTGGCGGAGGAGAGGCCTGCGAAGAGAGCGGGAAAGTCGAAGATGTCCTCCTCGTAGTAGGTACCGTCGAAATCCAATGTCAAACAGGTGAGCTTCTGGCTTGACAACAAGTTTGGCAAAGCGGAGACCGTGCCAGGGCCACTCCGCATGAAACGGGCCTGCTCGAGGTGTTGCATCGCGCCGATCGCTTGGATTACAAGCCCGTCGTCATCGATGAAGAACTCGAAGTTCACGATTTGGATGGTGCGGAGGTTAAATGCCTGACAAAAGAGGGTACGAAGAGGAGGAAGATCAACTTCGTGTATGCCGTGACCGAGGCCGAGATGGCGGAGATGCTGGATGCGGGGTACTTGGGACAGTGGTTCGGGTGCGCACATGTACCGCGAAAGGGCGAGCGATTCGGAGCCATCCTCTTTATCCGCATTGAACGCTCTACCCCAGGATAGGTCGGCGAAGACGCAAGAGATGGCAATTCTGTAGGCGCGTTTGGAGGTCGAAGCTGTGACCAGCGCCGTCTGGGAGTCCAGGAAAGAGAAAATCAAGAGAAGGACGTCGTCGTTGAGAGAGAGCAGGCCCGAAGGGTGACTCATCTTGGGAGACGTTAGAGAGACTCCGATTGGTGCGAAGGAGAAAACAGTACCGTTCAGTATATGATTGATTATTAGATGAGTCGGAGCCCGGAATCGGTGATGGCGGCCTAAGAACGTGGCTTTGAGCCGCCTGGCAGTGTGGCGCGATAGTGTGAAGGAAGAGGAGGAAGGAGACTCAAGAGGCAACTGAGCGCGCCGTCCCAGGCGTTGAGCCAGGCGTCAATCTCCCCTTCTCTTTTCTCCTCCCACTCCTTCTCTCCCGGGCGTCGTCTTTTCTCCACTCTCTCGTCGACATGAGGCCGCTCTGTCCCGCGCTGACGGTCGTCTCTTTCTGTACACGGGCACATCGCTCAGCGCTCACCAGTCCCGCGCGGACTTGTCTTCCGGCTGGCGCCAAGTAGTCTCAAGCATCACCGCAACCCATCGCAGCGTACCACCTCAGGCCGATCTAACTCTCGTCGCCGGAGAGGGAAGTCGTTGCTCGCAAAATTTACCGACGAGGTAGACGCGGAGCTTCCTGATCACTCTGGTGCGTCTGCTTGCCCTGCCGGTTCGTTGCGTCGTCCCCTCATCCGCCCCCATTCGTGTATTCAGGACGGATGTCCGGACCATTCTCCCCCTGAATTTCTCCGGGGCATCCATCCCCTCACCTCCCTGCTCCCGTGGAATCTTTGCGTCGCCACTCCGGACAGTCGCAGGTGGTGGGAGAGCGAGAGTGGAGGTTGGCAGGGTAGAAGGTGAATGGTAGTGGCGGACAGCTGGGGTGGATGCAACGGGCGTACGACAGGGGACGTGGTATGTCTTCTTTAACCTCGGATATATATCTCTTGCGTTCTACACCATCAGCGAGCTTCCGCGCAAACGCATTCCCTCTGTCCTTGTGAACCCGCACCTCAGCGAGGAAGACTCTCTTCCATCACTTGACGACGACGCTCCTTTCCCTCAGAAAGGCCACGATTTTCTCCCAAAAAGCACACCGATGTCCTCTCAGTGTCGTACGCTTCCCGTCTCCCCTATCGTGTCGCTATCCCCAATGTCTCCTCGGGCCTGTACTGCGGTAGGGACTCTGAGGCGGGGAAAGACAACGATCCGCAAGCACAAGCGTTTTGCGAGTCTAAACACGCGCGGACGTGAACCGGTGTCCCAGGTCCCCTGCACCCGCCGCTTACACCGGTTCCGTCTCAACACTATGGACGTCCCGCCCGTAGTGTGTTGCCATCCCCACAACGGGTGGGGGACGAACGTTGGGTGGGACGAGCATAGATGGTCTTCTCTTCGCGAGCTGGTCTTCTTCTTGTGCACATCCACCTCGTTCGGTCCGTTTCTCGAGCGACGTTTCGTCCACCTTTCTACGGGGACCTCGTATGGGCAACGTTATTTTCCTAGACGCCTTAGCCCAGGTCTCTCACCTCACCATTGAGCTCGTCGACTGCGACCTGCCGATGTTCACGGTGAGTAGTCTTCTTACGAGCTGTCAACCTTGTTGTGAATCTCTGATGGGACTTTCCGTAGATATATATACCTATTGGCCGTGCTGGAGCCCCTCTCGCTTCTTCTTCCACGTCACCTTCCTGGCGGCATGGATGAGACCTGAACCCGACAGCATGGTCACCCGCTCCCTCCCGTCGCCCCGCATCCTCGCTTAGGGGTCGTATCATTCCGCTTCGTGCACTTTCGTCACGATTGACCGCTCATTCGGAGCGGATCGCGTTCCCAGCGGGGATCCGCCAAGAGCAAGAAGAGTATACAGAGACGATGCGACAGTCGCGCGACTGCGGGCGTGGCCACAGCGAGAACGTGCGGGACGTGCGGCGGCGGTGGATCCAGGAGGGACGGCTCGTAGAGACCTGGCGGGAACTGGGTGAGAGCGCGTGCACGCTCATCGAGCGCTCGCATCCGGACTGGTCTTGACGGTGAGCACTTGTACTTGGGTGCCGCTGCGATTTCACGTCCCGGTGATCAGCCGCGCTGCAGGTGTCTTCTTGGGCACCGCCGTCAGCCGCTTTTGACCCCGCGGCTCGCGCTCCGCCCGCGCCAGCGTTCCCTTTCCGAGCCGAGGGAGTGAAGCGCAGCGTCGTGGGTTGGACGAGACTATTAAAGGTACACGGGCGATATCTCCCATTGTCCATTACCCTGGAGGTCTAAGATGGAGGATAGATAGCATGACACTGTCCTGCCGGATCCCGGGCATATTATTGCAATGTCGCTTACGATCCGGACTCAGATCAAATTCAGTCTCGAGATACGCTCTTGAGGACGAACCAGAAAACTCCTCGGACGTCACGGATGAATTAGAAACGAAGTGGCATTGGTGACGCCGACCGCATCGATGAGATTCATCGCGACAGGAGAGAAGAATGCGAACTTCCAAAGGGTGGTGAATGATTAACACATGAGATGAACGTTGTGGAAGATGCTGAA